CTGGCAAGTGTGGTTTTTCCATATTAAAATTGATAAGAATTGAGTCATTAAAAAGCAATTTAAATACATATTTGCTATTTATATTGATTCTTTCTATGTCAATAATATTTACCTATTAATTGTATTTTTACAGGAAAAAGAATTGAAAATTATAAAAAGCCTGTTGATGCAATTCCACACAGAGAAAGTGCCAAGTTGCGCCTTGCTGCACAGGCCAAATACCAGAGAATTGGCGCTAGTTGGCACCAGAGTGGTGCAAACTAGCGCCACACAGATGAAGCACCAGGATTATGGCGCCACTTGGCGTCCCACAAGGAGAAATAATGGCGCCAGTTGGCGCCCCAAAAGCATAACATTGGCGCCAATTGGCGCCCCAAAGTGAAGAACATTGGCGCCAGTTGGCGCCCAAGATACAAAGGGTGGCGCCAACTGGCGCCGGTCCACGCAATCGGTTCCGACTTTTCGTATTCGAGGCAGCAAGTTGGCGCAAACGTGCGCCAAACCGGCGCCAACTGGCGCCGGGTTGCGAGAAAATAACACCGTCTTTCCGCGGGAGTATTTTTGGAAGAAGGAAAAAAAATAAGTTTATAAATAGGATCCTTGTGCTAGACCTAGAGGATATCATTCCAGTCAGAGGAGACCGACGACAGAGCTCAGGAGGATTCTTCTACAGTTCTTCTTCTTCATCTATTTCTCTGTAATTTTATGCTTTTGAATATTGAATTATTTTTAGCCATGATTATGCTTGGCTAGTTTTCTTTTATTGTAGTTAGGGTCACGAGCCCTATGTGAACCCTTGTTACGATGGATTGATTTAGTTTTATTCATTTATATAATTATCTTTGTCTCTACCTTGTGCGTATTTTCTATTTTCTTTATTAGAACTGATCAATCTGATAGTTGGGAATAGTTTGAGGGTTAGAACCCTAGATAGGAATATTGGGGTTTTGATCTTGAAAGGGGGTAGGACAACAATTGGTATGCATGCTAGGAATAGATGTGTATTTAATTGCGGATGCTTAAATTATTGCGTTCATTGCTTAATACCATGAGGAACATTGCACGGAATTGGGGTTCCAATTGGGGATTAAAGGGTTAACCTTGCAAGGAATTGAGGGTTAACTAATAAATATTTTTAGATAATAATTTATCCGAGTAATTATATGAATAAATATTGTGAATCAATCCAAAGTAAGAAGTGACGATCATAAGGTGAGTGCGCTCTAGCTACAATAGTTTTCTCATATTTTTAAAATCAATTCTCATTGTTACTATTTTATTTCTCTTAAATAAAAATATAAAAACAAGTCTTTATTTTTATTTCATATTGTTACTAAAATTCAATTCACAATTTTCCAAACAACAAACCGAGTTTTCCAACTTAAGGGGACTGGTTATTGTAGTACTTGGTTTACAATCCCTGTGGAGACGATACTTTACTTACTCATTATATTACTTGTGCGATCGGTATACTTGCCGGAGAGCATCACCTATCAAAGTGTGGATACTAAATTAATGATAATTTTCATCCTTCATTGATAATGATAAACTTTACAGGAAATTGCGTCATAATGGAGGACTTACAGTTTTGTCCCATTTTCGCGCTTAAGAATTAACAACGGCTGAGCTTATAAGCTCGTCTTATTTGCATGGAAATAAATCTTATCTACAGACTGAGCTCGAAAGCTCGTCTTATTTATATAGAAATAAGTCCTATCTATAGACTGAGCTCAGAAGCTCGTCTTATTTTCATAGAAGAAAAATCCTATCTATGGATTCTTGGAGCTCAGACTTTAAGCTCAGCTGTAGTAAGCTTTAAGCTTGTCCGCGTTCCAAGTTCTTTTAATGGGCTTTTTGGAAATCGTTTCCAAAATGTAGGCTCCTTTATCCAAGTTTTCTATAGACTTTGGCATTTTTGTTGCCGATGTCCGCCCTCCTTAAAACTAGGTTGCTTTTCCGAAAAAACCTAGGTCTGCACTTTCTGTTATACCTTGCCGTCGTGAGGCATTTTGCCATCATATCTTTATATCTGGCACTTTCCATGTGTTCATCTAATAGGTCGAGCTCCACAGTTAGGGCTTCATTGTTTTCTTCCTTACTTCCTTGCATCCTTCTCTAAGATGGTTCTTCGATTTTGACTAGGATCATGGCTTCACAATCATATGTCAGCTTGAATGGGGTTTCCTTGGTAGAGGTTTGGGTACTGGTTCTATATCCCCAAAAGACGAGGTGTAGCTATTGTACCCAATTCCCTTTCGCATCAAACATTCTGTTCTTGAGCCTGTCCACTATCACCTTGTTTGTAGCCTCAGCTTACTCATTAGACTAGGGGTGCTCTACAGAAGTAAAATGGTGTTTGACATAGTATTCAGACATAAGTACTTGAAACTTTTTATCAGCGAATTGAGTTTCATTGTTAGTGATGATCTCAGTTGGGATTTCAAATCGGCTCACGAGATTTCTTTCAAAGAATTTTTAGGCTCTAGCCGAGGTTATTGTAGTGAGGGGCTCAACTTCTATCAACTTGGTGAAATAATCCAGAACTGCTTGTCCTTCTGCCGCGGTGAAAGGACCTAGAAGGTCCATTCCTCATTTAAGTGGCCACGACGCCGTGATACTTTGGAGCTCTTATAGGGGGCATGATGGACATGTGCATGTCTTTGATATTGATCACATTTCTTTACATGCTCTTTGGAGTTGGCCTCCATTGTGGGCCAGTAGTATCCAGCTCGTAGTGATTTCCGAGCCAACAAATTTCCCCCCAGGAGATGTCCGTTGATGCCTTCGTGAATCTCGGCCAGGACATAGCCCGCCTCATTTGGATCCAGGCAATTTAACATTGGAGTGCAAAATATTATCTTGCATAATTGTCCTTCGAGCATGGCATAACTTGCCGACCTCTTGATCAATTTTTTTGCTTCAGGGACCTTGTATGGGAGTGTTTTTTTTTTTTATAGGTATACCATTATAGGCTTCCTCCAATCTTCTCCATTGGTGATTAGCATGATGCAGCTCAGTTTCGGGATACTTTGTTGGATCACAGTTATGTAGTTTCCCGAGCTTTTGGTACTAACAAGCTGAGTTGGCCTCCATTGTGGGCCAGTAGTATCCAGCTTGTAGTGCTTTCTGAGACAACAATTTTTCCCCCAGGAAATGTCCGTTGATGCCTTCGTGAATCTCGGCCAGGACATAGTCCGTCTCATTTAGATCCAGGCAATTTAACATTGGAATGCAAAATCTTTTCATGCATAATTGTCCTTCGAGCATGGCATAACTTGCCGACCTCTTGATCAATTTTTTTGCTTCAGGGACCTTGCATGGGAGTGTTTTTTTTTTCTAGGTATGCCATTATAGGCTTCCTCCAATCTTTTCCATTGGTGATTAGCATGATGCAGCTCAGTTTCGGGATACTTTATTGGATCACAGTTATGTAGTTTCCCGAGCTTTTGGTACTAACAAGCTTTGACAATATATTTGCTCTAGTGTTCTTATTTTTTGAGATGTATTGAACTATAGCTTCATTGAACTCGGCCAGTATTTCTTTGACTTTAATGAGATACTTCATCATGAAGAGGCCTTTAGCTTGGTATTTCCCCTCCACTTGTGAAGTCACGAGTTGAGAGTACTAAGAATTTTGATTCTTTTAGCTCCGAGTTCCCTTGCCTGCAATAGGCCTGCAAGGAAAGCTTCCTATTCAGCCTGATTGTTTGAGGTTTCGAATTCGAGCTGTAATGAATGTTCAATGGACACTCCCTGTTGGTTTTCAATTATCACCCCGGCTTCGCTTCCCTTGATATTTGATGATCCATCTACGTAGATCGTCCACATGTCGTATGTAGGACCAAGCTCCCCTTTGGTGGAGAGCTAGCTCCATTACAAAATCCGCCAAGGCCTGTGACTTGATTTCTTGTTGAGGTTCATATGATATGTCGAACTCTGAGAGTTCTATTGCCCAATTTATCATTCTTCCAGCCAAATCTGGCTTATGCAACACTTTTCGGATGGGCTGATTTGTCCTTATGGTTATTCGATGTCCTTGAAAATAAGTATAACAGCCCGTTGTACACCGGTATTGTTAACATTAATATGATATTAAGCGCAGTTACAATCACAACAATTCATTTATAAAAATGCGAATAAACTTTTTACGATTATTACGCGAGCATTTAAAACAATAAAAGCATAATAATTAAAAGTTGTGACTGTAACTGTAAACTCTTGCGGAATACTTATTTAAACTACTTCTATGTCTTATTTTACTTATCATAAGTTACTAAGGGGTTCCCATAAACCCACTTAGCCAATTACTAACTTTTACGTTTTTACTTACCCGAACATGGTTCACTAATTAAATTACTGCGAATGCACCACAAAAATTCAGACCTTCCACTCAGGTTATAGTTTTTTCTTACTTAATTCCCTTTCTAAAAAGCTATCACACGCTATGATCGGAGCACGTTTGCTCCGGATATCGCCGTTTGAAGTTGGATAAGCAAAACAACCAACCAACCCCAAAACAGCTCAAAACCTCTCTCACTCCTCGAATTACTGCAGAAAATTCACTCATCCAATTGCTCTCAAATTTTTATTCTATAAACTAGACACCTCAATCTTCGATTTGATATATCATACGCTTAATTTGACCAAGAAATGAAGCAGGAATAAAATTCCCAAAACTGGACCAAAACAGCCCCCAAGTGTAGGGCAAAACAGGGAAGTTGTGTTCACTGACTTCCACAGGGCTGCGCACAACCCATAAAATTCTAATATTTTTACAAAATGTAGGGGACATCTCAAACTTCAAAAAGGCGTATGGCACGTCCCTATCGGACCTCTATGGAGGGAGATATGCTCTCCCGAAGTTCACCTAAAATCTGCCAATTCTACAGAAAATTCGCCAGAGTTTCCTTTGTTTTTCCTTAAATCCCCAAATTTACATAAGCTTGCTAATACCACAAATATACCTAATAATCCAATGGGTGGCACACACAACGACCAGCAATGCCTTGGGGCTCTTACAACCCACAATATACAACAATTCCATATCATATACAGTAGTATACATACATGATCCATAACTCTATATATATCATATCAAAAAGGTGACTCTGTGCCATAACTACAACATCCTACATCAACCTACATAAACATAATACATCACAGTGTCACAATATATACAACAGACTCCCAAAATAAGCAGGCAACATATATGCTCAGATCTACTCATCAACCATGGGCCTCTTGCCCCGAGAACGATCGTCAACTGCTGCGATACCTGAAATATATCCCCATAACGCGGGGTGAGAATGAATCTCAATAAACTTGGGGTTTATGGAGCAGTCTCCACCCAAGAGTCCACTTCCTGCAAGAAAATATCAAGTACCAAGACATAGATAACACCATATAATCCATATTAGAATTTCTGTATCATATATCTTTTCAAATAATTCTCATTTATTCTTATAATGTACTTTCTTATTAATCTTAAGTATGTTCATGTCTTATGTATGAATAAGGCTTCCATCTTATATTTGTAATGTCGTATCATATTCAATAGCATACTCATAATGATTAGAGAACTAAAGTATTATCGGCTATACCTTATGTATACCGTGAATATCCATAATTGTTTCCTCTGTTCAGAAACCATAACTTACACTTCCAAGGCTTTATTTCATTGAAGATCATATCATATTAACTTATCATAACATAAATAATATCATATGCATGCACTATATGAATGCAACTACGCAAAGTATCAATATTAACAACAATTATATCCATACGGAAACCATAATCGCCACTGATCATGGCGGAACAAAAAGGCTGAGAAAACTCCTAACCGAAAGCTTACCTGTCGTCTCTTTCCTGCTGCTAACTTGCTATTTAATAACCCGTACACTTGGTTGTCTACAAGTTGTTCGTCCACCTACTTCATCTGATTACACTCTGTTACCGTACATATAAAAGTACCATTAATTTCCAATGAAACATACATTACTTGAAATCCGAATAATTATATTCATATGTTAATTTCATAACCAACTTGACAACTTCATTTCCCTTGACAGTTCATGCCATCCCATAAGTTTACAACTTAATTTATACTTTATGACTTAGAGTCTCAATTAGTTAATTAATTTACTAATTTATAGTTAACATTTCATACACTTTTAACAAAGCTTCACGTATCTTAAACCATTTGAATCATACTTACTTATTCTAGGAAAATGCTATAAATCAATCACTTGAATTGAAAACACATAATCTATGCCCATTATTCCTTTATGGCCGAACTCTATATATAAACACATATACAATTCTTTTGGTTGTCATGTTTAACTAATTAGCTTAATTCTTGTGAAAGCATTCATACACTATTATTCCATTAACTTGACATAAAACTAACATCAATTTCCTTAGCCATTTAATACATATTGGTCGAATAGTTACATATACATATACTCATGGATTTACCATTTCATCTTAGTTAATTCCTTGTTTGATCACTAAGTAGTCTTATATAAACTATTACATAACTTTTTCATCAAAACTCTAACATAAACATAGTCTACATCCTAGACTTAATTAAGATTTCACACTTTATGTTTGGTTCAAATACTAGCCAATCATCATTAAATGTCCCAAGGATCATTGTTTTACATAACCAATGAATTAAACACTTAATTTGCACAATTAATTCTAAAGGGCCGAAATACACACTTTTTTTACAGCATCAACATCCTGTGCCATTTTAATCACGAAAAATTCATCTTAACTACGATTCCCCTGAATTTTGGACATGTTATAGTAGACACTTAAGGCTTTAATTTGGCGCAAACCACAATCCATTTGAAGTCTTGTAGCTTCAGATATGAATTTTTAAACATAACAGCCCCTATGTTGATCCTAAAAGGTCCATAAAGTTCTTTTGAAATTCCTATACTTCATTCTTTTTACAAACCAACTCTAAATCATATTACACTTACATTTCCACATACAACTTGATTAAACACATCCTTTAACTATTTTATCACATGATGACCGATTTGCCTAGCTCAAGGTTTAATGAATTCTCTTTCAATTTTTCTATCACTTGAACCTTTAATTTGTCATCTCAATTTCATGTATTTAACTTAGGAAATATTACAAACACTTGGTGTGCACATCTTTACACCCAAAATCTGAACCATATAGAGTTCATTAAACTCATCCCTTATGTGATTTCAATTTCTTTTTGTAGTATAGAAAACCAATCCATCACAACAACTCATTAACCCACTTAAACATCAATAAAACCACTTAAATTCATCATTAAACCAACATCAAAATTATCATCATAAACAGCCCTATATCATGAATATCATCATTATTTCTAAGAATTTACTCAAGGGAGTGCAGGTTTAATACCTTAGATAGCCTAACCAATAACTATTGATGACTTCCCTAAGCTTAGAACTATGGAATCAATCCATTCTCTCCTTCCTTTCCATGTGCAGGCGCTGCTGTCCAGAGGAGAAAAGAAGAGATTTAAAGCTTCCCAAAGTTAGAAAAATGGTGGGTTAGAATGATGGGGTGCTAAGCTACCTTTTCTATGTTGGAGTCTAGATGAAATGGTGACCAAATCATCAAGTTCTCTCTTGCCCTTTCTCCATTGAAGCTCACGAACTAAGGAAGAAGAAAGAAAGAGGAGTGCAGCGTGAAAAAAAGAAAGGAAGAGAAGGGACCGCCTAATTGAAGCCATGTAGTCTTAGTTTATTTATTTATTTATTTTTTTGACAACAGGTCACTTTCTCATTGGTTTAAACAACCAAACTACTTGCTTGTTGCTTTCTTCTTAAACTCTACGGCCCACATAAGTGATAAGAAAGGAAGTATAACACCTCACAATTTTAAATCAAGTAATTAAAATATTAAGTGAGCAATCAAGTGATGGATTAGTGAAAATCCTAAAGATTAAGCCAAAATACAAAGAAAGGGCAAAACAGTAATTAGCCAACACGCAACCCTAGGTAGATAAAAATTGAGTAGAAGGTCTCCGATGATAAAAATAACCCTGGAAATGGATTCAGAACGAAAAATTGAGTGGACAGGCAAGTTTCAGAAAAATCAGTGAATAGTGTTTTTCGCGGGTAAAAATACCGCTTTACGATTGCACCGTAAAACGTGCCAGTTGAATTTTGAGCTCCAGGTTTCAAATATGAGTTATAAATGGTTTGTTGAGTTAGGAAATATGATTTGATGAAATTGAGTCATTTTGAGAAAAATTGATGAATAGTGATTTTCCGGTGTAAAAATACTGCGGTATAATTGTACCGATAAGCGTGAAAATTTTATCAGTATTTTTGGGAAACAAAAATATGACATGAACAAGAAAAATACGTAGGTCATGAATTTGTGGTTGAAATTAGATGATTAATTAAAGTTAAAATGCGTGTGGGACCCGCCTGTGACTTAAGTGAGTCAAACTCACCTTTTTTCACACTTTCTCTCTCCTCCCTCTCTTCCTCCCCGCGACAGCAGCCCCTTCCCCCTTCCTCTTTATGCAAATTTTTCTTTGGATCAAAACTCACTCAAATCTCAACCAAATCCAACGATTTTTGTCTTGAAACTTGTTGGAAAACACCTCCTAAACACATTGGTACCACTCTTGAGCCTCGAAATCGCGTGTGTGAGGAGATCTTGGCCATTTACAGCCGCGGTTTTGAGGAGAAAAATTGTGTTCTTGAAGCTTCCAAGTGCTCCAATGGTGGAGTATAGTTAGGAGGAATCTTATACCTTTCGTTTGGGTAAGTGTTCTTGCATTTTAAACGGTTGATTGTGATGAATTGATTTTGTGACCTAAAGCCTTGATTGATGATATGTTGTGTTAGAGAGCTCAATTTGAAAATGTGTATTAGATGATAATGTGTTAGAATGATGTATTAATGCTAGAAACACAGTGAAAATTTTAGGTGAAATGTGATGATTTTTAACTTAGAATAATTTGATGGTCATGACATGGAATTTTGGAAAAATGTGTTGTGATGTTGATAATGAGTTGTTGTATGATAGAATGATGATATGATGTGATTGGTTGAGTTGAGGAATGGTTGAAAATGGAAAGAAATCCTTTGGAATGCTTTAGGGTAAAATTCGAACCTTTGAGGAAAAATTGAGGAATTGATGTTGAAAAATGAATTGGATGATGATTTGTGTAGTTATATAGTGCTTAGATGGGTTGTGTTGTGATTGGCAAGTGTTTGAATCAATGGGAAAAGTGAATTGTGTTTAGAGACCTAAATGAGCCCAAAGTGAAATATTTCGCAAACGATGCCTAAATGTCGTAAAATGGAAAAACGACGGTTGAACTAGCCTCTAAACAACCTAAGGGAGTGTAATAAAATGAGAAAGAAAATTTAGAAAAATAAATCCCCAATTAACACCTATATGGCCGAACCTCCATGGGAAAAAGGGGAGATTTTGCGATTTTCGCGTTCTGATGTAATCCGACGCGAAAATGACGAACCGACACTTGAATTGACCTATTGACAACCTAATGAGACGTAACAAAATGAGAAAGAAAATTTAGAAAAATAAATCTCAAATTTACACTTCATTGGCCGAACCATCAAGGGAGGATGGGGAGGATTTTTGTGATTTTGCATTTTGATGCTATTTGACGCGTACTGATGGATGTACGTAATTGTATAGGTTGCCGTACGTTGACTTGAATCCCGAGTCTTGATTCAGTGAGTTGCCATTGGTCTTGGACCAAGTGGATTGAGGTAAGTAATTGGTTCAATGCATGTGTAATTGTAAAGTAGCATGTATTGTTTGAATTGTGAGTGATTAGGAGTGTCCTCTGTGTAGGCATTCTGCTGTGTACCAAGTTGAGGGATAAGCTGCTGCGGAGCTTGTGGAAACAATATTTCAGGTAACCTCTTGGTACTGGGGCTTGTTCCCCTTTTCTGTTCCACCTTGCCAGTTGATGGCAACGGTAGGAAGTGTGTATGAATAGTATAGAACACATGAGCATGCATGCATTATTGCTATGGGTACTGCGGTACCGAGTCTCTGGCCAGTAGACAGTTTTATTAGCCTTCGGGCATTTTCGGACTTCCGCTGGATAGGTCTCCAGGAGGGAGTTCCAGTTGACTGCGTGTCATGGTGTGTGATCCGGGTAGGAGCACACTAGGAATGTCTTTGGCGTTTTGGATGGTTTGGGCATCATGGATGTGGTTTCTTTGAACGCACCATGGATGATACCCATAGGCTTATATATGCCCAGGGCGTACGTGGAATTGGGGTTACCATCCCGTATCGTCGTAGTTTGTTTCTTTATATTCCCCATTTCTCTAAATCCCTTGCTATATCCCGTTTTCAAAGTAGTTGTTTTATTCTATTGATATGCATCGAAGTGAACCATTGGGTGGAGTTTTCTCCAGAACCTCTTGGTTACTGAGATATATTCGTATATCTCACCCCGTCTCGGGGCATTTATTTCAGGATGTACCTGTAGCGTTGGAGCAGCGAGCAAGAGGCCCGCAGGGTGATAGAGGAACATTTTCAGTATTTGGCATATTGTTCATGTTGGCATGCCTAGGTCTAGCAGTTTGTATCATTTAAATTTATGTCTAAATTTGTAATTGGTGTTGTAATATTGTAAAAGGCAATTTGAAGTTAAAGTCGTAAGTTGTAATATTTAAGTGTATGTTGTAAATGTAAGAGAGGCATGATGTAAAAATGGAAGGATTTTAGGCCTATGTTAGAGTTATGATTACATGATTATATTGTGAAACTACATGTGAATGGGACCTATGTGATTGAAACAAGTAAGAAATATAATGTGAGCTCTATTGTATAAACTGTGTAATAACTATAAACTGGATTGGGTTGTAAGTGCCCCAAGGCGTTGTTGGTCCTTGTGTGTGCCACCCATTGGATTATTATTGTATTATCATGTGTTTATTAGGTACATTTGAGGTTTAAATGATCGTTCTGGATTGGGTTGTAAGTGCCCCAAGGCGTTGTTGGTCCTTGTGTGTGCCACCCATTGGATTATTATTGTATTATCATGTGTTTATTAGGTACATTTGAGGTTTAAATGATCGTTTACAATTTTGGGATTATTGGAAAAACAAAGGAAACTCTGGCGAAATTTCTATAGAATTGGCAGATTTTAGGCGAACTTCGGGAGAACATATCTCCCTCCATAGAGGTCCAATAGGGACGTGCCATACGCCATTTTGAATGTTGACATGTCCTCTACCTTGTGTCAAAATTTGAGGAAATTATGGGTTGATCTTCGGCCTGAAAAAAATAGAGAAACACGGACTGCTCAGGTGCCCCTGCACCTGAGGCAGATTCTGGACCGGAGTTGGGAAATTAATTCCTTCTTCGTTTCGCAGTCAAATTAAGCGTGTGATATATCAAAATGAAGTTTGAGATGTCTAGTTTGTAGGATAAAAATTTGGGAGAAAATGGTTGAATGGATTGAGTGAAGTAAATCGAGTAAGGTGAGTGGTTTGGAGCTGTTTTTGGGGTTGTTTGGCTATTTGCTGATCCAACTTCAAACGGCGATAACCGGAGCTAATGAGCTCCGAATTGAGCATATGATAGCTTGTTGAAAAGGGAATTAAGTAAGACAAAGATCTAATCTGAGAAGAAGGTTTGGTTGCGAGCGTTGTGGTCGCAGAAAAATTAAGAGTGAAACATGTCCGAATAGGTAAAAACGTAAAGTTTGGAATTGGGTTAAGTGAGTTTCTGGGAACTCCTTAGTAACTTATAAAAAGTAATGTGAGTTATAAAAATATTTTAAATAAGTCTTCCGTAAGAGTTTACAGTTACGGTCACAACTTTTAATTATTACTCCTTTTTATGTTTTAAATGCTCGCGTAATAATCGAAAAAAGTTTATTCGCATTTTTATAAATGAACTGCTGTGATTGTAACTGCGCTTAATATCATAATTAATGTTAACAATACCGGTGTACAACGGGCTGTTACATTTTATGGTATCAGACCAGTTTTGTTAGGGAACTCTGATAATGTATATATAGTTGTGTTGTGTGTTGCATAGTTGTATGTAGATTCTTATCGATTAGTGCATATGTGATTCCTTAGTGTGGGTCTGATCAACCCATTCCTTTGTGTTACATGCGTAGTCATCGTAAAAAGTCTGCGTGGCAACCTTGGAGCACCGAATGTAAGTCCTTAGCCTGATGTTGTGGCTGCAGTATTGACTGCTCCATGGACAAGAGATGGCAGTAAGTAAAACATGAATATTATAGGACTTAAGGGAAACAGACTTAAATGTTTTGTCTGACCTTGTAGATGAAATTATAAAGCTGGATTATAAGTGAAAGTTGTAAACAAACCTACGATATGTACGTTATTGCATGGGTGGACCTTGTAATATTCTATGTCTGATTAGAAGTTATAAGTCCCTGATTGGGGATGTACACTTAAACAAATTGAGATTGTTCATGTGGAAAAATAAATAGAATAATTGATGATTAATCCTATGGGATTTGACCACTTGAAATTATAATGTTGGTCAATTGGTAATGTGAGAGATATTGAAACATGGGATTTAAATCCATAACGAGTTAGTGTTGAGTAAGCATTGGTGAGATGAAATAATTATGTATTATGAGTAGAAGGAA